CTAGGAGCAAGGACACTACTAGGGGCTCCTGGCCTTACTACTAGGAGCAAGGACGCTACTAGGGGCTCCTAGCCTTACTACTAGGAGAAAGGACGCTCCTAGGGGCTCCTGGCCTTGCTACTAGGAGCAAGGACGCTACTAGGGGCTCCTAGCCCTACTACTAGGAGCAAGGACGCTACTAGGGGCTCCTAGCCCTACTACTAGGAGCAAGGACGCTACTAGGGGCTCCTGGGAGCTCCTGGCCTTGCTACTAGGGACGCTACTTGTGGCTCCTGGCCGTACTACTAGGAGCAAGGACGCTACTAGGGGCTCCTAGCCCTACTACTAGGAGCAAGGACGCTAGTAGGCTCCTGGCATCGCTACTAGGAGCAAGGACGCTACTAGGGGCTCCTAGCCCTACTACTAGGAGCAAGGAGGCTACCAGGGGCTCCTGGCATCGCTACTAGGAGCAAGGACGCTACTAGGGGCTCCTGGCCCTACTACTAGGAGCAAGGACGCTACTAGGGGCGCCTGGCCCTACTACTAGGAGCAAGGACGCTACTAGGGGCTCCTAGCCCTACTACTAGGAGCAAGGACGCTACTAGGGGCTCCTGGCATCCCTGCTAGGAGCAAGGACGCTACTAGGGGCTCCTAGCCCTACTACTAGGAGCAAGGACGCGACTAGGGCGCTACTAGGAGCAAGGAGCAAGGACGCGACTAGGGCGCTACTAGGAGCAAGGACGCTACTAGGGGCTCCTAGCCCTACTACTAGGAGCAAGGACGCTACTAGGGGCTCCTAGCCCTAGGACGCTACTACTACTAGGAGCAAGGATGCTACTAGGGGCTCCTGGCCTTGCTACTACGAGCAAGGACGCTACTAGGGGCTCCTAGCCCTACTACTAGGAGCAAGGACGCTACTAGGGGCTCCTGGCATCGCTACTAGGAGCAAGGACGCTACTAAGGGGCTCCTAGCCCTACTACTAGGAGCAAGGACGCTACTAGGGGCTCCTGGCATCGCTACTAGGAGCAAGGACGCTACTA